GGAGTGAGCCTGAAACCTGGGCATGTGCCCTTGTCCTGAATTGAAACCCAGACCCTACAATCTATAGGCCGATGCTCTATCCACTGAGCCAAACTGGCTAGGGCAAGGAAGACCCTTTCTCTTTTGAGTCCTGTCTATATCTCCAGCCCTGTGTCCTGCTCTCCCACATCCCACACTTTGGGGTGCCCCAAACCACTGGCATTTCCCCAAACACGCCCTGTTGCTTCATACCCCATGACTTTGCCCAAATTCTCTCTTCCTCCATTCTTTGCCTTATCAAAGACATGACTTTAAGCTTCTGCTTCTGGAAAGCCTTCCTCAATCCCACTATTCTTGGAGTGAAATTTTTGTTTTTAAAAGTAAAACTTAAGGTTTTTGTTTAATGCTTTCTAGTTATTTGTATTGTCAGCCACATCCCAAATCCAGGGACCACAGCAGACCTGTCCTATTGTCTCCTACAAGCATTGTCTTCCAATAACCACACTGGGAAAATGTTACACATCAGAATGTGCTAATTCAGAGATGACCCTTAAATGTTGTTTAAAGTTCATTTAAACCCAACAAATGCAAAGGCCAGTGCCTCTGGGCAAGAGAAATAATCAATCTTGCCTCTTACAAACTTATTGTATGTACCTAATATACACAAAACAGAAAACCTCTCCTTTACTAGAAAGGCGCTTTCTAGTAAATCTTACACATTTAAAATGTAATTTGACACATAAATTGTTTTTTCTCACTTTTGATCAATTTTTAGAAGTAGCATGAAATGAACCTTGTGTGTGTTTTTTTTTCATTTATTTTCTATGTTGAGAATATCCTTCCTCACATAGAACATGAGGAAATTTTTGGATTTACATGGCATGATTTGGTGACCCGTTTTAGAATATGTAAACTTTGGATCAAATTGAATGAAAGTTTAAAGGTCCCTGAGAAAGAGTCAGATTTTCTCTTGCATAAGTAGTGTGACCTCTTCTAAGAAAAAAGTCTAAACATCTCTGAAATATGTTTTTAATTTTTTCTCATTTTTTCTTATAAATTTTCAAGAGACAGGAAAAGTAATTCCCAGGATATGCATTTCTTCTCTTGAATGCTCTGACCTCCAAATTCTCCCTGTTCTATCTGCTAAGAATTGAATTGAGGGAAACAAGAACTATTAATCTACTTAAAGGAAAAAAATTAACAGTTGGGAGGCTTCTAGTCAAGATGGCAGAATGGGTAAATGCAGTACTTGTCTCCTCCCACAACCGTATCAGAATTGCAACTAAACTACAGACCAACCATCATTAAAACTGCCTGAAATCTAGCTAAGTAGAAGTCCTATAACTAAGAATGTGAAGAAGAAGCCACATCAAGACTGGTAGGAGGGGTGGCGATGGGGAAGGACTGGTCCCACACCCACCTGTGGTGGATAACAATCAGAAGGGACATCTCAGCTGTGGAGGTCCCCCTGAAGATGGAGGGATCCGAGCCCCACACCAGTCCCCACAGCCCAGGGTTCCAGAGCCAGGAACAGAAGTCTCCACAACTTCTGGCTGTGAAAACCAGTGGAGATTGTGGTTGAGATAGAGATCTGCTGGAGTCCCAGGCAGTTCCTCTTAAAGGGCCTGTGCATGAACTTACTCAAACTCACTACTTCTGAGCTCCAGCACTAAGCAGCAGCTTGAAAAGCTCCAGAAACATATGGGGAGGAACTGAATTGTCTGGGTCAGGACAGGGCCGGAGGGGCAGCTTTCTCCCAAACCCAAGTGCTGGCAAAGGCCATTGTTCCTTTGCTGAGCTGAGCCCCCCAGACCAGCAGGCAGGCGCTGTATCTGAGTCTCCTGGCTAACACTGTCGCCCCACCCTGATGATTCCCTGAGATCCCACCCAATCCAACTTTTAGGCCCACCCAAGCTTTCCATACAAATGGACTGTCTGGTCTCATGCTGTTGACTTTCCTAAAACCTCTCAAACAATTAGTATCTGGCTTTGGCATCATGCCCTGTACCTCTTGCTACATGGCCCCAGGTGGGCACTAGTGGCAGCCAGCCTTGGTTCACAGTTGCCCTCTATCAGAAACCTGTAAGCCCAGCAGAAGTAGCAGTTCTCTGATTTCTTTGTAGCTCATGCTGGGTGGCCCTGGGCAGGGCACAGACGCAACTGACGTTTGGCCTGTACCTCCCAGGAAGCCCCAGAGCTACCATACCCAGTGGATAGTTTCAGACTATACCAAAACACCACCCACCACCTCCACAATCAACACACTCAAGGGGCAGACTCAGCAGGCACCAAGGCCCTGCTGAAGAAAGTCCTGCTCTGTGGGGTCAGCCCCTGCATTGGTGATCCTCCACGGTAGTTGCTGCCAGCCCTCACAGCTGATCAGCCTGGGGATAAATCCCTCCCATTGACATGCAATAGCTATCAAGGCTCAACTTCAACAGGAGAGAGCACATAGTGTACAGCAGGGTAGGGGGTTGCAGGGGGAGGGGGTGTTCACCTAAAGTGACTGAGAGGCTACACCACTGGGTCCTACAGGACACCTATTGCATAGGGCCAAGCTACTAAACCTGGGAGATATAGCAGCTCTACTTAATACATGGAAACAAACAAAAGAGTCAGTCAAAGTCAGGAGACAAAGAAACAGATCTCAAATGAAATAACAGGAGAAATCTCTGTTTAGAGCTCTTTCCATTTGAAGCAGAATCAGAAGCCACTTAATTTCTTTAATAGGAAAGAAGCTCAAAATATAATTTAAGTATGGTGAACATTGGTCTTAGAATTTTGCTAAGTTCTAGTCTCATTTGAAAGTAGCTACATTTTTTTATGTTCTCTGACAAACAAAAAATGTATATAACAGCTTTAATAAGAGCAAAACTTCAAGTAGCACATATGAGATTTGAAATATTTCTTTAAAGTCAATCTATGAAGATATACATCCTTTACTAATACTAGCAATTAATTATGTGTATATTCTATCTATAAATGGCATTACAGCAGTGGTTCTCAACCTTCCTAATGCTGTGACCCTTTAATACAGTTCCTCATGTTGTGGTGACCCCCAACCATAAAATTATTTTTGTTGCTACTTCATAACTGAAATTTTGCTACTGTTATGAATCATAATGTAAATATCTGATATGCAGGATGTATTTTCATTGTTACAAATTGAACATAATTAAAGCATAGTGATTAATCACAAAAATAATATGTAATTATATATGTGTTTTCCGATGGTCTTAGGCGACCCCTGTGAAAGGGTTGTTCGACCCCCAAAGGGGTCGCGACCCACAGGTTGAGAACAGCTGCATTACAGTATCTATCTATAACTTTGAAGGGGATAAATGAATAATAAGTAATTAACTTTGGATATATTTCTGCCTTTAGATTAGCTTGCTACTTATCTCTACTTTCCTTTCTTCTTCGATTGTTCTACAAAGTAATCATTACAAGCAACTGTCAGGGCACCCACCCTGACCACAAATTCATTAAAATCCACTCTGTTGTCCTTATTGGAGTCCAGGTGTTGCATTAGCTTATCAATCAACTGAGGGTCCTTTTGGCACAAAAAGGAAAAAGAAAATGTCTAACTCCCAGGCTTTGAGATTCATAATGACAAGTGAGATCACATCTTCCTTTTATCTATATTACATTTTTTATTTTCATTTTTAGCACCTAAGGACAGTTTCCAAAGGGCTATTTGCAGGAAGGTTTGAACCAGGCGCAGATTCTAAATGAGTCTAGCACTTTGCCCCAGGGCCACATACTTCCGGCTCAGACCTAAACACTCAGGAGATCAAACAGCAGCTCATCATGAGCCAGAGCGAGCGGCTGATGCTGAAAATGCACTCACTACACGACATCACAGGTCAAGGGCCAGGACTCGGGGAGGCAGGCAGGGAGCAGGGAAAGAAGGTTTTGCAGCCAAAAAGAGATAGTGTGAGCGGCTCTACCAGTCACCAACAATGGGACTCTAAGCAAATCCCTTAACATTTTTAATATTTCGTATTCATTAGAAACTTTGCTGCCACAACATAAAGCACTCCAGGCTTCATTTCTGGCCCAAAAAACAACATCCACTTACAGACATCTGGACAAAGCTCCAGGTATAACTGCTGTAACTAGCTGTAACTATAGTTATAGTTACCAGCTCTATAACTAGCTACATCTCTGCTGCACCAGGGTGTTGGGAATTGATGAGAGCCTCACATAGAATTTACAATACTTGGAAGCCCACAGGTGATACGGGAAAGGCCACACAGAAAACAGTGCACAGAAAACAAAGGTCCTCGTGTTTGGGCCCCTGTGCTTCCCATCTCCAAAGAAATTACGCTGTGTCTGTGGCAGAGTCACAGGAGACGATGTGCCCAGAGGCCGTCCTGGGTGTGTACCTCGCCCGCCTGGACCGCAGGGGCAGGGGAGCTGGGACTCACCGGGAGGCGTCCCTGAGCTCTCTCTGCGGAAGCATCTTCATCCCCCCTTGTTGACCTGGAATTGGTCCCCTTCTTGGCAGGAGAAGCACTGGAAGATTCCAATCATGGTGTCCATGGCCCTCTTCAGCCGGCGGGCTTGTTGGCAGCAGCACTGACCCTGCCGGGGCAGGCCACCAAACTCAGGTGGGGAAACGCCGCCACGTTCATTAACACAGAAGAGGGTTGTGCTTGTAAGTTAGCAATCAGGCAACAAATATTAAAACACAGGCTAAAAATAAACAAAAAGAGGAAGAAAACACTTAACTTCTTACTGGTTCCGCCAAGGCGCAGCTCTGTCAACAGGTGTTTACAATTAAATTATGTGCATTTATAACCGAGGTTCCCACCTCAGCACACCTGTTCCCAGGAAGATGAAAACCACCTGAGAGGAGAGATCCACAAGGAAGAGCCTCAGAGCCTGTTTTCAATCACCAGAAGGAACAGGTGTGAGCTGCTGCCCTGAGGGTCCTAAGGAAGGGTTGGCGCCCACTGTGTGCATTAGCTGAGAAGGCGCCCACTGTGTGCATTAGCTGAGAAGGCGCCCACTGTATGCATTAGCTGAGAAGGCAGGAGGAGGAGAGGGAGCCTTCAGTGATCCCTCACTACGGGGCGTAGAAATGCAGTCAGTTGCTAGCAAGTTGATGAGGGGTGGGGGGACCTCTAAAAACAGAGGAGCAAAGAAAATACACTGGTTTGCTTTTTTTGCTCGGCGACGCGAACATGAGTGGGCTGGTGGGCGAGAGCGGCCTGCATCGAGCGCCTTCCTCCGGGGCCGGGAACTCGAACTCGGCGCTTTGGAGAGCCTTGGGCGGCGGAGCGCCCGGGGGTTCGCCGCCGGGCTTCGAAGGTGCGTCTCTCCAGGATGGCCAGGACGAGAGCAGCAATGGGAACCCGCAACTCCCCCACCTCTCCTCGGCCGGACAACATCTCTACAGCCCGGCGCCAACCCCTCTCCCACACCGGAGTCGCCGAATACCAGCCACCACCCTACTTCCCACCTCCCTACCAGCCGCTGACTTATTCCCAGTCGGCAGACCCCTCCTTGCATCTGGGAGAAGTGGACGCTTGTTACCCCATCTCTCCGGGCAGGACGGCGGCGCTCTGAGCGCCCGCAGGTATGGCTTCCACCGCTCGGACCTGCTGCTGCCCCACGCGCACTCCCTGGACGCAGCGGGGCTGGTGGAGAACCTGGGCCTTCACGACCTGGGGCAACAGATGGACGAGGTACAGAGCATGGATGAGCAGCCCCGGCTTCAGCATGATCAGACTGGTATTCGCAAAGGTCCCATTTCAATGACCAAGAACCCCTTGAGTCGCCCCTGTCAGAAGGAGCTGGTGGGGGCTGTGACGAACCCCAGTGAGGTCTTCTGCTCCGTCCGCGGAAGACTGTCCCTCCTGAGCCCCACGTCGAAATACACAGTGACAGTTGCCGAAGTCCAGAGGCGATTGTCCCGCCTGAGTGCTTAAATGCCTCATTGCTGGGAAGTGTTCTCAGAAGAGCCAGGTCTAAAAACGGAGGCCGGTCCTTGCGGGAGAAGCTGGACAAGATTGGACTGACCCTTCCAGACAGCAGACGGCAGGCTGCACGCGTCACCCTCCTCACATCGTTGGTAGAAGGGGAGGCCGTTCACTTGGCTTGGGACTTCGCGTCTGTCTGTGAAGCTGAGTTTCCTAGTAAGCCAGTGGCCAAGTACTTAACTAGGCCTCACCTCAGAGGACGGAATGAGATGACAACGAGGAAGAACATGCTGCTGGCCGCACAGCAAGTGTGTCAAGAATTCACGGACCTTCTCCACCAAGACCAAACGCCCAACGGGAACAACCGGCCGCCCCGGTCTTAGAGGCGAACATTCAGAACCACCTGTCTCACTTCAGCCTGATGACCCACGGGTTTGGCAGCCAGGCCACCTGTGCCGCCGTGTCTGCGATGCAGAACTACATAAAAGAGGCTTTGGTCATCATAGAGAAATCCTACATGCCTCCTGGGGACCAGAGTCCAGCCGGTTCCAGCAAGACCTCGGAGAAGATGGAGAAGCATCAGAAATGAAACCGGTGGACACAAAGGGAAGAAAAGTCTGCAAGGGGAAAAAATCTCAAACCACACTCACCGGCACAGACGGGGAGACTCCTCGGCCTGGGGGGACAAGCGGAGCTTTTCCTTGCCTTCCCACTGAAAGGCCTGCTGGCCTCCCGAAGTTGGACTTGCCCTCTTGGAGTCCTTAGTATTTTTCTGGTACTGAAGCGTCTCCTTAACTCTGGACGAGTCATCAGAAGGCAACAAGTACTGGTTCTCTATTCATGAAGCTTATGTTTTATTTTGAACCCCATTCTTCTGTCTCTGAAAGTGGTGCTACAAGTTTTCAAACCTTTTAAATCCATCCCCTGGGCTAACAAAACCCCCGCATGCTTAGCTGTTGAAATGTCAAATCTGTGTGATTCAAATCAATAGTAACTTTCAGTGTTAAAGTCATTGCTGGCTCCCTGCCCACTAAATATTTATTTTTAGAGAAAAGTGTTTATCTAACATCTTCAGATATCAAATCCTGCGTGCAGTAGGAGGCAGACTCCGCTTAGCAACGAATTAATAGGTGGTATTGAACACACTTAAAAATCCCCTTTTCAAAGGGGCTTTTGGATTTTACAAAACACATAGAAACAAAGCCTGCTGATTTTATGTTGTTTGTTTGTTTTTTAACTGGAAATTAACTCTACACGTGGGAGATTCTTTGAAATGGCATGTTCCTTTAAGGTACTGAAGCTTTATTTGCGTATTTATTTCACATCTTGGTGATTCGAGTAAACTTGAAAAGGGTAGGCATGAAGCGTTTTTTGCTGCCTGTCACCCCCCAGGTCCCAGAGGAGGCGCTGTTATTTTGAGAAACAATGTGTCTCGTGTACAGATTTTATTTATGCATAATTTAATCGGGTCTGTAGATACGGGTGCACTTCTTAGTGACTTTTTGAGAAATGGGGTTCCATTTTAATAACTTTTAAAGGTGATGGGGTCATCTAAAACACATCTTTAGGTTTTATTCATATGTACACAGGGTGTTACGAATTAGGATCCTGGACTCTGTTCTATTTAATTGAAGCTCTCTGTTCACAAAGAGATAACTTTGTGTCTCATTCCTGTTGGGCTAATCCCGAACAGGAGTGCGCGGTGCAGTGTATGGGGTGCCATGGGGATTTGGAATTGAACTCCATGCCTGCAAATGTTCACACATTAACTTGTGTATATGATACCTGTACAATAAAAAGTATTCTCTATAGAAAAAAAAGAGAAAATACACTGGTTTACCAGGTAACCCTGGAGGCTGCTCAGCAAAGCCAGTAGCAAGGTCCAGGGAATTAACTCAGAGCAGGCTAATTAAGCTAAACCAACGGGCAGTGGTGCAGCTATAAAGAAGCATGAGGAAGCTCTCTGTGCCGATTTAGAAAGGCACAAAGCAGGACCCTGGCTGTGTACGAAGGAAATAAAAGTAATAATTATATGTGTATGTACTTGGCATTTGAACAAGGAGTCACTGAAAGGATCCGTAAGAAAGTAATAAAAGCGGTAGCTCTAAGGGGCCAGGGGGAAAGAGGGTGGGACTGAGTGGTTGGGAGTCCTCATTTACACCCTTTCAACTGATTTTAACTTTTTCAGTTATAGGAATGTATTGCTTAGTCAAAAAATTGAAATAGAATAAAGCTCAGAGCAGCTGTGTATGCAAGAATCCACGGGCTCAGGGGTGGGAAGGAAGATGTGAGGTGGGGAGCATGGATTTCCAAGTGAGAGAAACTTAAAGAAAAAATGTCACTAGAAAAACCAAAGCCAGAAATGGACCACTGTGCCTGTCCTATCAGTTGAACTCATCCATTTTTCTCTATTCTTTACCACCTCCAAGGCTTCATAAATTTCGCTCCCTATATCTGCTCTCTGCTTTCTGTCTATCCCCTACATTCTGGTCTCCATTCCACTGTCAGAGTAGTTTGAATACCAATTACCTTTATTTTATATATTTTTAAATATATTTTTATTGATTTCAGAGAGGAAGGGAGAGGGGGAGAAAGAGAGATAGAAACATCAATGATGAGAGAGAATCATTGATTGTCTGTCTCCTGCAAGCCCCCAACTGGGGATCGAGCCCACAACCCAGGCATGGGCCCTGGACCAGAATAGAACCCTGGACCCTTTAGTTCAGAGGCTAACACTCTATCTTCTGAGCCAAACCGGCTAAGGTGAGAGTAGTTTGTATAAAACACAAATCAACATCCACACTCCTAGGCATTCAAAGGTCTGACCATGCCCAAAAGCTGACTAAAATGTTGGGTTCTCCATTTTTCTGCCTTTGTTTTGGGCCCACTACCTGAAATGCTAATTTACTCCTTAGGACTCAGTCACCCCAATAAAATAAAAAATTTTAAAAAGACTTGGTTCAAATGTCTCTTTTTGGAAGTTTTACTGCACTCCAGCCACCTCCCCAAACTCCACCCCTTCCTCTCTTATCCCCCGGAGCATCTCCTTATCCTTTTTATCATGGCATTTATCGCACATTCCTATAACCACTTTTTTCTTTTTTCCTGCCCATACACTCTTCATTCTCCAGACTCTGAATGAGGCCCTTGATGGCAGAACTGACATCTGGTTCATCATCGCATCCCATACATTAACACAGGATCAAGAAAACTATGGCAATGCACAGAAATCGTTGCTAGAGGATGGAGAGATGAGCAAGTGTTGGAGAGGGAAACTATCAGATCTCCAAAGGGTTAAGCTTTGTCTAGTTTAACAGTCTAAAGAATTATTTGATTGCCTTTATTCCAAATTTTAAATTGCCTCATCAAAGGAGAGAGAGACAGAAAGAAAAAAATAGTCCTTTAAAAAACTATAGAGTTTAAATTTGGAAATAAATATTATCAGGTTAAGCTGCTAACGTCATAAATACATTAAAATGAGTAAGTCTTACAGAGTATGTGGGTCTCAGCAGTATTATATTTATTTATTTATTTATTTAAAAAAATGTTATTTTTAGAGAGAGAGAAAGGGAGAGGGATAGAGAAATAAAAACATCTATGAGGGAGAAACCTGAAATTGCTACCTCGCACAACCACTTCAAAAATACAACTAAAAGACAAAAGAGACATCATCTAGAACCACAGGAAGGCTGGCTGAGTGGAAATTCTACAACCAGAAGGAAAGAGAAAAGCACA